CCGGCCGGTCAAACCCGCGGTGTGCTCCTTGTCATGGTCCGGAAATAACGGGCAAATCCGTCGTCAATTCAGTGTATAAATAATGGATTAACAATTAGTATGAACAAGCTAATTCAGAGAATTCGTGTCCCCCGCTTTGGGAAAAAGTCGGCTCCTCCTGACTGAATTTGTAGAATTATTAAATGTATACATGTATACTGAAGCAAATAAAATACATGTATGTCAATATGCATATAAAGATTTGATTGCTTATTCTTTATTTGTGTAAAAGATTTTTTTTATATAGAATATTTATCACACTGTAATGATGATAAATATTCCATATAAAAAAATCTTCTATACACATAATAAAGAATAAACAATCAAATGTTTATATGCATAAATTTTTCATTTCACATGCTGAATACTATCATTTATAAAAAAAAAAGTATGTAAAAAAAAAAAAAAGGATCGATTGAGATTCGATCACGCGACCTCTCACATTTGAAGCGAGAGACACAACCACTACACCACGGAATCGCTTTACATGTTGTGAAGTATATGCAGGACTGAAGTTACATACATGTATATATTCATGTTTTCATGTTCCATATTCTCAAAATTTTACACAATCCATGGTGTTTGATTTATTTAGCCTTTATTACACAGTTCTAATAGATGTAATAAGAACATAAAGTCCGCCGAGAACCTGTTTTATACGCAATAACTCTCCTCATGCCCCTGCGCTAAAAATAGCGACATGTAATACTATAAATACTAATAAAACAATCGGGGTGGGGCACTTTGAGAGGGGCGAGAGACGTCCTAGGTAGTTTTGGTATAAAATTACATTGCATAAGCTCAAAATCTTCTTGAAATATCGCCCGGAAATGATAGTGTTACACACAGACAGAATGTATAAATTTACGACCTTGAACTTTGACCTTTTGACTTCAAAATCAATAGGGGTCTTCATTAGGCCACAGAGAGTTGTTATATAAAATTTCATTGCAATAGCTCAAATGGTTCTAGAGATATCCTGTGGAAACGAAAGTGTTTTAACAGACAGAATTTGCTTATTTATGACCTTGACCTTTGACCTTTTGACCTCAAAATCAATAGGGGTCTTTTTTAGTCCATAGGGAGTTGCTATGCTAAATTTCATTGTAAAAGCTCAAAGGGTTCTCGAGATATCGTGTGGAAACGAAAGCGTTACAGACAGACAGAAAGACGGACGGACGGACGGACAAACCCAAATTAATATCCCCCACTTTTCAAGCGGGGGACAAAAACGTCAGTCAGCATTTGACTCAATGATGAATTGTATTTGCTGACAAGGTCATTGTGTCGACCAAAGAACTTACGAAATGATAACTTTAAACGAGACTGATGAGATTCTTCTTCCATCAACTTGTTTGTCAGTAATTTACCTGTTTTAGAAATTGTACATACGTAGAGCATGCTCTTGCGTATCGAACCGAGAAATAAAGTGCGTATGCAGTTTATGAAGGTATATTGCTGTATAAGTACGGGAATTTGACGATTAAAAAGTTAAAGTCACGACAACATTTGCAATCAAGTAAAAACAAAACAAACAAATATGGAAGGGAATTACCGCCAAAAGTCTATGTATCTTGCTTTTATTCTTATTCTGCAGGCCTTCTTCTTTATTCTTTGTTATTATTGTATTTATATGTCACTTTAATGTTTTCATATTCGTCTTTATTACATTTCACTTCGAACTTTTATCATTCTTCATTTTGTCCTTACTTCTATGTTGCTTTATTCTTGTAAGTTCATTCTACTTTCTTTTAAACTTAAACAGTTTCTTAAATAAATTATTAGCATTATCTCTACTATGAAAGTTAATTCAATCACGCTAACAATGAAGCATATTCAATGAAGACGAATGGAAGTTGTTAAACCGTCAAAATTTAGTGCGGCATTATAACGCAAGGTGGTGTGGTGTTCGCTACGAGTGTTGGTAAAATTAGGTAAGCAAACCCGGGTCGGGTTATATGAGATTCTTCAATACAATACGCCTTAGTACTTTATCAATCGAACTTCTGAAGGCCGGATCCGACCACCCGATCCAATGATGGAAACTCCATATTTTTTTTCTCTGCGCACACAGGAATAGCGGCCTCTTTTTTTTCAGACATAACTTTATAAAATACTGAATAAGTTCATTAAAAGGCCGACCCACTTTTTGTAAGAGTAAGGGTCAAATAAGTTAATGTAGTACGTATAGTAGGAAAAAAATTTAAATTTGATTCTATGGAAGAAGTTGAATCTAACTCAAAACCCACCCCGCCCACGAAATAGGATTTCATTGAAAGTTGGGGGGGGGGGGGGTAAGTGTAAGAATTTTTTTTTTTAGACCTTCCAAAAAAAAAAAAACCCTGACAAGCAAAAAAAATGTCCATTTTCCAAACACAAAAATCCTATTTCGTGAGGGGGGGGGGGGGGGGTTTGAAGGCTTTTCGAACTCCAGTGCCAGTTTTTTTTTTCCAAATACCACCACCCTGACCACTTTCCCCATTTTAAACCTTTACTGCATCGTGTCCACGGAAAGGGGGGGGGGCTAAACCTACGCAGGACTGTTCAATGTCTATACTAAGTCCATCTTTGGAAAGAAGTGGGGGCTAAGCCCCCCCCCCCCCCCGGTTCCGACGCCTATGTATTTTCAAGTTTGGACAATTTCCTGGGGTTTATTTTGCGCTTGTCAAGTTGTTTTCAGCCGGGTAGCTTGAATATTTATTATCTTATTGCCCCCCTCCCCACTTTCAAAAACGATGCTACGTCACTGTTCTCTCGCCTGAAAAATATAACTCTATTAAAGTTATTTGTTGGATAATTGAATTCAAGTTTAATTGATATAAAAATGTTAAAATATTTTGATACTAGTTAACCCTTATAAATTGGGTTGTTTTTCAGAACTTTCCACTGAACTGAACTTTATTTCACGACAGATAGTAACTGCGCGTGATTCTAGGGACAGGGCTTTGCAAAGGAGTGAGGAACGTTATGGGTAGGCAGGCGTTATCCAGATTTTTTTTCCGGGGGGGGGGGGGCAACAGAGTCAAAAAAAAAAAATCCAATCCCAGAAATTTCTTAACAAGCATAAAAAGAAGAAAAAAACATAAACTCGCTCAAACGTCAGAATTCTATTTCGTAGGGAGGCGGGGGGGGGGGGGTAACTTTTTTCCTTCTTTTAGTAACCTTGTAAATTCCAGGGGTCCTATCCCCCTCTAGAACCGCGCATGGAAGGCGAAGTCGGAACTAGACTACATGCACCCAGGCATACTAGAAACACACCGGTCTTTTTTTCTGCGTTAATATTTTATAATAAAATAGCACTTTTCAATAAAGAAAGAAATATCTTTAGTACGCACCGTGTTTGTCATCAACCAGGAGAGCTAAAAAATCTTAAAACTCGAAAATTCTATTTGGTGGTGGTGAAGGGGGGGGGGTCGTCAACTTTTTTCAGTAATAAATTTTACTCATAGCCACTAAGTACATGACTTTTAATATATAAATTGACTATTATTACTGCAACAAAAAGTGTAAGGGATGGGGGGCAACAAGCCTTTCGCTGAACTTTTCCAGTAGTAAAAAGTAACGTTTAGGAAAATGTCTCTTGCCGGTGGAGAGCTGCAAATTTGTCCTATATATACTCGGCACTCATAGCCAATGAGCAGTGAGGGATCATTTTTCGTGCCAGCACCTACTGCGACACGGGACCTCGGATAATATGGTCTAGATCTCATCCGAAGGACCGAACTCCACGTCCTATAGTGGGATTCGAACCCACGACGTATTGGTCGACTCCTTACTACTGTACTTCGTGACTCTATATAGAGCAGACGCCGTAACCACAGTGCCACGCGGGCGACTGATTCCAAGGGGGGGGGGGAGAGAAAGAGTCATTATCCATATGTACTCGTGAAGATTATCTATGTTTAACTAAATGGTTAAAATGATTTTATTATAAAACACTATTAAAATGATATTATTTAAATATTTATTCATATAGAACGGATAACTTTTCTTCAAAAACTGAAACCGTTAGAAAATATAAACATTGTTTTACGATTTTAAAAAACTATTTGGGGAAGGGGTTGCTACGAATGGGGGCGAATTGCTATATATAGCGAGATTTCCCACGGAAGACTAGCTATATATTGAAACTTTCCCGGGGGAAGTCCCACTGTATAGTCTTCAGAAGGAAGCATAACTATGTAGTCAGTCTCCCAGGGGAAATCTTACCATCTAGGGAGACTTCCGAGGGAATGGCATGTATCGGGTACATACCTGAACATATAACAAACATCAGTCATTTAAAAATTTAAGTTTGATTGATAAAGTATTAAGGCAGAAAATTGAAAAAACTCGAATAACCCCGGCCTGGGTTTGCTTACCTAATTTTACCAACACTCTTAGCGAACACTCCTGCCACCTAGCGTTATAACTTATAATGCGGCACTAAATTCGGACAACTTGTATTCGTCTTCATTGAAAATGCTTCATTGTTTGCGTGATTGAGTTAACGTTCGTAATAGATATAATCATTTAAGAAACTGTATCAAAGAAAGTAAAATGAATTTACAAGAATAAAGCAACATAGAAGTAAGGGCAAAATGAAGAAGGATAAAAATCAAAGTGAAATGTAATAAAGACGAATATAAAAACAATAAAGTGACATATAGTTACAATAATAACAAAGCATAAAGAAGTAGGCAGAATAAGAATAAAAGCAAGATACATAGACTTTTGGCGGTAATTCCCTTCCATAAACAAAAACCCGCAAAATTCTGAATGCATCTCCCATATCCTTTTGTAACATTATGTTCTTGTATGCAGCTATGCTACATACTTTCAACATTTTTAAAGGGATGGGCTAAAGAAAATCAAAATCATGAATGAAATTTTGGAATTTGTCTATTTCATTTATGATACATTTGAAACATAATCAGAAAAAACTTCAAGTTTTGATTTAATTCAATACAGTATCCGATAATATACACGTATCTTATAAATGGAAGATTCTATTAGCACTTGAGTTATATCTTCGTTAAATTTTTCAGCTCTTAATAGGAAAAAATATTCTCGCCACTGAAGAAGTTTATAGTACGATGATCTTGTTCTACTGCAGGGGGCAGAATTCGCCGTGGTTTACGCCTGGGACCATGAAGCCGTTCAGCTTTCCGTACGTTTGACATTGTTGCAGGAGCTCCAGTAGGGGTGGAAAATATAGGAGTTTGATTTCTCTTAGGAGTGGAGGGAACCTGTTGATCTTGTAGGTTCTCTACTACAATAAATAAGTATCTTAAGGATATCCGATCCTCAGCCAGGAAAGATAACTCCAAAAATTAATATTTAATTTGAAATGCATCAAAATGAAGCTTGAAAACGAAATTTTTTCATGCAAAAATTTTCATTGTATTCATCTTTATAAGATTCAAGATTTTTGGAAGTCTAAGAAAAGGTCTTTAAAAAGTTGACATTTGTACCCTATAAAAGGAAAAAAAATTAATGCAGTTTTAGAGAAATAAGATTTTTTTTAATCCAGCCTTAGATACCAATGCTTATTAGCATGATATGAAATAAGAAGTGATTTATGGTGTCTTGCAATGATAGCAAAAGCCTTTTACACTATGTATTATAGAATACATGACAGAAATAGAAGACCAAAAAGTCCAAATAAGTATAAAAATCGTGACAATTTCTCTGAATGCCTGGATACCTATCGTTTTTTAACCTAAAATATATTTGTTGATCAATTTGCAAACATTTGACAATTTTCCCTATATAATATGATTAACTTTAATCTTTAATTTTAAAGAAATACTGTGGATAAATTTTTTTAATTTGTGAATTCAAAGATACTTTTATGAGTATTTTCGATTACTTAACTGCTAATTTTATAAACCTGAGGATCGGACTACCTTAATTAAATAATATTTTAAGTTACCCAAAGGCAGTAAAAGTAAAAACTGATAGTGATTTACATGCATATTTATGCACTAGTTATAAGTATAAAATTTACATATATATTTTCGTAACTTGTAATTGGCAAGTACATTGTACCTACACTTGTTATTGGCATAACGTGAGACAGGTGTCTGAGGAATGGCACTAAATCTGTAATTGTTATGTGGTGTCCTTGTCGGTGTTGGTTCTGCAACGGGGGTCCTTGGAACCGCAGCATCACCAGAATCTATCGTTTGAAAAACGGATTAAAAACAAAAAAAGAAGAAAAAACAACAGCCTCGACTCTAACGCTGAATCCAAAGTGATCTGTTCTCTGGAAATTTGTATCAACGATTTACCTATTGTCCTGTCTAAAGATTGCCCCATGTTTGGAACAACTGCTACAGGAGATGAATAGGCGCAGGAGTCCTCCGTGGTATATGTTCGAAATCTCGGCGTGCTTGGAACAAACTGAGCGGGAGAGTTTGAACTCATGATTTATATCTACAAAATAAATACTAGTATATAGTAAACTAATTTCTGTTCCTAGGAAATAAAACTTATTACGGTTATGATCAGATTATAATGTTTTGAACAGTAACATCCTTATAAATGTTCAATGACAGAAAAGATGTATTGATGTATGAAACTTTTAAAAATAAAATGTAAAAGTGATGAGAATTTTTATAAGAATTTGTCATGACTCATGACATGCTTCAAGCTGGTACTGGCCGAACAGTTTTGTCGGAATGGGGGTGTTTGGAAAACTTGGCTTACACTTATTTTTTAAAGAAAAATGGTGTGTTGAAGGGGGAATATAGCATGTAAACTAAAGTAAGGTAATGTTACATGAGACATACCCAATAAACAGAATATTTAAAATCATTCTATAAAAAAAATTAATTCAAACTCACAATTTTCCTTCGATGATTTTTGAGGAAATTCGGCCTTTTAAATGCCTTGAGTTAGAATAAATCGCCAAGGATAAAGACGATAAGAAATAGGCCAAATAAAACGAAGGCGTAGAATATGCCAAGGGGAATAAAAAGAGCGGTTACTTCTTCGAACGAAAACGTAGATGTACAGTATGTAAACACCAATGCCAAAAGAAAAAGAGTGCTGTACTGGATTACTTCCTGTATCATTATTGTTTACAAATCCAACCCGCCAAATCAAGTTTGAGCGAACATTGTATGACGTGTGCAAATTTGCACCAATCAAGTACGATGGTTTTCGAACCGGAAGTAAGGACCAGAGATGTGATGTTTACAGTTAGGCTGGCATGTATTCTTATAAGCTAAAAATTTCAGGGAAACACGGTTTATATTTTTTTATTGTTATATTTTCGTAATATTAATGAGGATTTTAGGGATTGTTCTTTCAATTGGCATTTTTTTTGGAATAGATTCTACTGCAAGTAGAGAAAGATTTTTTTTTATTTGTCTCTGTAGAGTGAACATTGTTCAAGATTAATTCAGGATATATAAAGGTTTATCAGTATTCGGTAATCATATATTTAACATGTCATATCTCTCTTTTCAAGGTATAATTAAAAAAAAACATCTTTGAATACTGAAACAAAAGAAAATGCATTAGACTGTAATAAGAGTGATACACTCAGAGGCTGCAGTATTGAGCATATAGACATAAAGCTAAGTATGTCTATGGATTGAGTAAGTAGTTAATGCTGATTGGATGCTGCAGATAATTTTTATGAGCATTTTCAGTTTTACAAGTTGCTTTATTCTACACCTGTTTTAATTGTCAGTGTCAATCAACATCTTAAAAAAGCACCTCTTCTGACCAACTGGTTTAAAATATTAATGGTCCAACTCAAAACTTGTTAACCTCCAGGAAAGGATAATCTTTAAATATCTCTTAGATTTTTGTTTTGGAGAATCTCAATTTTAAAGTCTTTTGTCTTTTAGATTAATTTTGACAATTTTTTTTTACATACATATGGTATATAAGAATAAATCTTTAAAATTATTGAAAGGAAACTAAATACAATTATAATAAATATACAAATTGCCTGTTTAGTTGTGTAGTATAAATTCTGATTTTTTTAAAAAAAATCCTATTCTGCTTAGTAAGGACAAAAATACAAAGTCCACATCTCAACATCATTATGTATAGTAAAGAATTTTAAGGAGAGACAAAGGAATTATACATGTATATACATGTAAAAAAAAATTATACATGTAAAATGTAAAATATATATACATGTTAAAAAAATGGTTCAGTGTAAATGAAATTTAATGATTTTTTTTATTTTGAGTTGAAGATTGTTACTAAGAAAATTAAAGAAATATAGCTTTGAGAAGTTCTGTATAAAATGGAAATAAGATCTGTTCAAATGGAGAAAAAAGCACAACAAAAATGTCACCTAAACATAGAAACATTAAGGAGGGACAGGGAAATGACATGTAAGTACTAGAATTTCAGTGTTTGAGGCTATGTGTTACAGTGAAATGCATTGTATAATAATGTACTGGTAGAAATCGGTGTAACTTGTTTGTGAATGTTTCACATTGTAGGGGAAGAGAGAATGAATTTTTTGATGCCAAAAATGATGATAGGAATGGAAAAGGATTTATATGAAGGTATGTACAGATACTTGTAATGTTGAATCATTAGATTTTATGGTGAACCAATTTTCATGGAATTAGTGGATACCTCTCATTCATGAAACTGGTTACAAAGTCATACATGGATGTAAGAAAATACTCAAATTCCAATTAAGTCCCCACGAACCTGTAAAATATAGTCATTGCACAAAAATTGTCTCAAACAATTTTATTGATTCCACAGTAATTTTTTTTATGAAAAAATTCTTAGAAAGGGCAATGTAAACATCATCTGAACAAGCAGCTTTTTATATCAATATTTGCTTAAATTTAAATTTCTAAACAGTTGTAGAAGATGATGACCAAGAGCAGAAATCGAGCAAGAAGGCAAATTTACAGAGTAGGTGTTTTAAAGTAACTTCTCAATTCAGTAAGTAGAGGAATTGTTCATAAACATCAGTGACTTTAGTATTGGTAACATTTCTTGGGTTATTATAATTTCATCTAACATGTCTAAGGTGATGTAAGAACTGCCTAGTCTATCTCCATCCATCTCTCTGCACAATTGTGTCCAGACTCCAGAAAATAACATTTTTAGAAAGAAAATTGTAAGTTCAGGATTGCTTAATATCACTGAAGGATAAAGTTTTTTGAGAAGGTCCAAGACCAAGAAACTACGAATTAAGGCCTGCCTGAACCAACCTGACATAGATGACTGATCAAGAGATAACTATCAGGGTAGTCAGATGCTGGATTTGACCTTCACTTTCCAGATCGAGTTACCAGAATAAAGTTGATGAAGCAGATTCATTACCAGGAACCTATAAGAATCTAAACCAAACTTATCTCAATGGATGAATGTGACTCTCAAACTTGCTGTCAATTAAATGCTGGATATGACTAACTTTTTTGGATGAGAGAAAGTGCAAGCTATATCAGACCAAAATTGCTTAACTGCAGCATCTGGGGTTGCATACACTACTAGATAATTAGTTTAGTGTGTGCATTACATTTAATTGTTGTTTTAAAAGCTATGTAATCTCTGATAACATGTTTTGTTAACAGTTTTAATTTGTTATAGGTTCAGAGATCAAGAAGGCACTGGAAATCACTCCTGAAAAGAAGACATCTAAGAAAAACAGGTATTTAGTCATCATGAGCAAATACATGCTGCACTTGAAATCCAAGATCACTAAGAAGAAATTAATGGCAGCCTTTCAGAACCACTCAATTCTATCAATTTTAACCATTTGAACTTTTTATCTTCATCTATTCATATGGCAAAACAAAACTTCATGAATATGAATTGAAAGGTTTCAGATATTCCATTCTTTTATTGGGGCCCCGCTCAGCAGGCGCCCTATAGTGATCAGTCTGTCCATCCAAGATCTCTTGTCCGGAGAATATCTTCTCTCTCCTTGGACCAATCTGTCTCATACTTCACCCACAGAGTGCTTTCGGGTAATGAGTGTGCAGTGATCTTGAAGCATGTTTCTAGGACAAAGGTCAAGGTCATAGTAGAATTATGTGAAAAATCCTTGTTCGGATCATATCTTGTCTCTCCTTGGCCCAATCTGGCTCATACTTCACCCATAGAGTGCCTTTGGGTAAAAAGTGTGCAGTGACTTTGAATGATATTTCTAAGTCAAAGGTCAAGGTCATAGAATTATATGAAAAATCCTTGTTTGGAACACATCTTCTCTCCCCTTTGTCCAATGTGGCTCATACTTTACTGAAAGAGTGCCAGTAATCAATGAATGTGCAGTGACCTTGAGCAAAGTTTCTAGGTCAAGTGTCAAGGTCAAAAGTAGCCTTTCTGTTTAGATTCTTGTCTGGAGCATATTTTCAATTTCCTTGGCCTAATCTGGCCCATACTTCACTCACAGAGTGCCTTTGGGTAACGAGTGTGCAGTGACCTTGAACCATGTTTCTAGGTCAAAGGTTAAGATCAAAGCAGAATTATATAAAAAATCATTTTTTGGAGCATATCTTCTCTCCCCTTTGTCCAGTGTGCCTCATACTTCATTCACAGAGTGCCAATGGTCAATTGATGTGCAATGATCTTAAACAAAGTTTCTAGGTCAAGGTTCAAGGTCAAAAATAGCCTTTCTCTTTAAATTCTTTACAGTCTGGAGCATATTTTCTCTTTTCTTGGCATAATCTGGCTCATACTTCACCCACAGAGTGCCTTTTGGTAAAAGGTGTGCAGTGACCTTGAACCATGTTTCTAGGTCAAAGGTTAAAGTCAAAGCAAAATTATATGAAAAAATCCTTGTTCAGAGCATATCTTTGCCATTTGTCCAACTATGCTCATACCTCACAGAGTGCCTTTCAGTGAAGGGTGTGCAGTGACGTTGAACCATGTTTCTTGGTCAAAGGTTTAGGTCATAGTAGAAATATACGAAAATCTTTGTTCCGAGCATTTCTTCTCTCCAATTGGTCCAGTGTGGCTCATACTTCACTCACAGAGTACCTTTGGTCATGAATGTGCAGTGACCTTGAACAAAGTTTCTAGGTCAAGGATCAAGGTCAAAAATAGCCTTTCTATTCAAATTCTTATTCGGAGCATATCTTCTCTCCCTATGGTCCAATGTGGCTCATACTTCACTCACAGAGTGCCTTTGGGTAAAGGATGTGCAGTGCTTTGAACCATGTTTCTAAGTCTAAGGTTAAGGTCATAGCAGAATTATATGAAAAGTCCTTGTCCAGAGCATGTCTTCTCTCCCCTTTGTCCAATGTGGCTCATATTTCACTCACAGAGTTCAATGGTAAATTAATGTGCAGTGACCTTGAACAAAGTTTCTAGGTCAAGTGTCAAGGTCAAAATTAGCCTTTCTGTTTAAAATTGTTGTTCGGTGCATAATTTCTTTCCCGTACTGTAAGTCCACTCAGCCTCAAACAAATTGACAGGGTATGGAACATTTGTAATTTTCCTTCAATATTTTGAAAGTGAATATGCAACAATTTTCATAGAGTATACATTTCTGAAAGTTTTTTATTTGTATTATTTTTCAGGGAGTAGTTACCTTTTGTCCCCTTTAATCTTAAACACCTTCAAAATAAACCCTTTTCAGCCACCTTACATTTTCATGTATAAATTTATGTAGCATGAATAAAACTATGCAAAATTTGAAATTTTTAATAGTTTATCTCTCTAAAAGATGTATTATATCATGAAAGCTCTTCTATTGTAAGAAATTACCCATTTATTGCACTTTTTGTATGCATTTATATAGCTTTCTGCTTTCTGATATAGTGTCCTGCCAAAAAAGAAGAAGAAGGAACAGCCTTTGACTTCCACTGCTTTATACATCACACAGACAGATCTTCTGGAGAATACTCCGGATGTTTCCTCCATTCACAGTAGGTTACTCTCTATCTCATTCAACACCATGATCTCAACTGGGAGCATGTTAAACTAACATCTATGACAGTACCATTGGTTACTAGAATTTACTTGTAGGTGACAGGGCTGTAAATGTACTTTTTCTGTCCCGATCGTCGATCCAAGAAACAGAATTCTGAAACTATTGCTGATTGCAAAAGAATGAATTTAACAAACTTTTCAACATCATCTACATGTCTGTATGAGGTTTTCCTTCATCAGATGCACATATCATTTGTTGAGTTTTGAAATTTTTGATTATCTCTGGATTTTTAGATCCACTGGTCAGAGAATAGAAGAGGTTATGCTATTAGTATGTCCATCATCTGATTGTCCAGCTGTCTGTCTCTGAACATTTTTTCAAAATGCTACTCTTGCAGTTTTGGTCTGATTTCAGTATTACTTAAGTAAAGTTCTCAAAGATACATAATTCAATTTATTGCTTTTTGTTTTCAATGACTGGTGTTGCCATTGTTGCTAAAAATAGATATTTTGGTGAAAAACTTTTCAAAACATTACTCCTCCTGCAGTTAATCTTGCCACAGAAGAGACTAAAAAAGACTCTTAACTAAGGATCATTATTTTATGTGTTGCTTAATTGCAAAGTTTCAAGTCCAAGTGCTACTTTTCCTTTGTGTTAAGTTAAACCAGTAGAGCTACAGTCTCATCAGAGACTTCTGGTTTTTCTACAGATTCAGGGAAAAGGCGTAATGAATGTCAATGGTTGAGTAATCCAATCCATTTAACAGTGAGTAGAAACTTAAAAAAAAAACAGGTTAATTATCGGTTTTTTTTGCTACCATTATACTTACTTATATGATTACTGTTTCTTTACTAGGTGTCCAAACCAGTAACCAAATTTAACCACTTAACAAGTACACCAAACTGTTCTAGGAAAGAACATTTGGAGGTAATGTTTGAACTTAAGCAAACAAATTGAATCAATGATACGACTATACAGCTTTAAAAATTGTCAAGTAGCACACCATAAAGTTAATTGTTTATTTTCTAAATCTGAAGTATTATAGTGAAATTTGTCCTGTATATAATAACCATTTATACTCACCTATATAAGTTGATCTACTTATGGTATCGGTATAAGTCATTTGTGTTTTGGGGGTTATATTGGAGGAGGCTTGACCAATTTAACCAGCTCACAAAACTTTTTAAAATTATAAGGATAATACATATAGCTACACATTTATAAATTCACAATTCAAAGAAATATGAGAGAACACATTATCAAAGTTTGTATCAATATGAAAAGAACATTAGTATTTAATCTACAAGAATGATTTCCATAGTTTTAACATGATGTAACAATCTGTATAGCCTAAGGCCATTTCCTTGTTTATCCTAAGTTTTTTCCTTGTTTATAAGCATCGGCCCATCTTTCAAAAGCAGACGTACCTATTTGCAAAAAATACACAGACCAAACAAAAATCCACAACCTCAATAGTCATAAAGATAACATCATTAAAAGGATTTGTTTTCATAATTTTTTTTTTCTCATAGAAAGATCTATACTTCAGCAAAATTAAGATATTGAATGCCTAAAATACACTGAAGTATTTTTAAACAAATTGTAGATATACATGCATGTATCATTAAAAATATACAGGTATTTAAATGACAAAATTTAAAGATTTTGACTGGAATAATTAATCTCAGGTTTCCTGATTTTGTTTGTTTTTTTTCTGATATTGAGTGTCAAAAACCAAGACCCATGTGGATGCTAAACATAGAAAAAAAAAAATTGGTATGGCCTCTTGTATGTCTGCCAGTTGTTAACCTAGCTGTGTAGTATTAATTTTTATTTTCTCTAAGGATCTATTTCATGCCTATAACTCAGACATAGAATTTTGGACCAAAATCAAACTCTATATTTATAGATGAGTATATATGATACATTTTGCTCAATATTATTAGAGAATGATTTTTTCACTTAATATTTCAAATTATTGATGATTGTATCTATTACAGATGGATTTATCAGCTATTCAGCCTTTGCTGCAGGATGATGAATTACATATTCATGCTTCCACAATGGTGAATTCCATGGAGATTGTTCCACTACATGATAGCATAGATCTTCCTCCTCCACTAGATACGGAGCATGTTTTGGAGTTAAATAAGGTGCTTCTTCATTTAAAATTACTTACATGTACCTACATTAAATTCTAAAAAGTATAGTAATGGTATCCACATTTGTTTTAGTCGTTGTTTTATGTTGACTTTGACTTAAAGGTGACCTTAGTACCCTGAGTTTCTCAGACTGTAACTACTTAAGCCCTGATAGAACTAGAACTATGGGAGCCTAAGACCAAAGTTTGGTTGTTACTTTCTAATTTACATTCAATTGAAAATGGTTTTAAAAGTTGTCGAAAGGAATACATATAAACATGTACATATATATTTTTAATTTGCCCCCTTCCACTTCGAAGAAGGGAGGGCTTATTGCTTTGCTGCTGTCTATCGGTCAGTCTGTTTGTTGATCCACCAAGTTTCCATTCATTTTCTTTCCAGAGGTTGCACGTACTGAAATGAAATTTGATATATAGATTTATCATAAGAATATCTAGGTCAATTTCAGTTTTAGGTTAGATTGAGCCATTTTGGACAGAATTATGCCCCTTGGACTTACAAAAATTCCAGTTATTTGCAGTTTCTGTTCATTTTTTTTTTTGCATGTATGTCTAGCAGGAGGGGGCATAAGTGTTTCACAAACATCTCTTGTTACTTAGGGCTCACTAATTTTTGCAAAGTTTTACTACACTCAACTGAATTTTTGATATGTATCATAATATGAAGGCTAAAATATCTTGATTGATCATTATACCCCCCGCAAACGAAGTTTGGGGGGGTATATAGGAATCACCTCGTCCGTCTGTCAGTGCAATTGTGTCCGGTCCATATATTTCTTACAGAGGGACATTAGAATCTACTACTCAACACAAAGATTGCCCATGACCTAAGGGTGTGTCATGACCTTGACCAAAGGTCATTTGGGGAACTTCAAGGTCACTGGAAGAAAAATTTCATAATTCGTGTCCGATCCATGTCTTTCTTATATAAACTTGGTAGGTTCTCATTTCACACAAAGAAAAAGGGTGTGTCATGACCTTGACCCAAGGTCATTTGGGGAACTTCAAGGTCACTGGAAGAAAAATTTCATAATTCGTGTCTGGTCCATATCTTTCTTATGGATAAACTTAGTAGGTTCTCATTTCACACAAAGATTGCTAATGGCCCAAGGGGGTGTCATGACCTTGACCCAAGGTCATTTGGGGAAGTTCAAGGTCACTGGAAGAAAAATTTCATAATTCAGAGTCCAGTCCATATCTTTCTTATGGATAAACTTGGTAGGTTCTCATTTCACACAAAGATTGCTAATGACATAAGAGTGTGTCATGACCTTGACCCAAGGTCATTTGGAGAAGTTCAATGTCACTGGAAATAAAATTCATAATTTGTGTCCAGTCCGTATCTTTCTTATGGATAAACTTGGTAGGTTTTCATTTCACACAAAGATTGCCCATGACCCAAGGGTGTGTCTTGACCTTGACCCAAGGTCATTTGGGGAAGTTCAAGGTCACTGGAAGAAAAATTTCATAATTCATGTTTGATACATATCTTTATTAAGGAAAAACTTACTTCTGAAAAACCCAGCGGGGGGTATTTTGTCCCGTTTGGACAGTTCTAGTTTTATTTTGGGATAATTAAAAGTTAGGATATTGTGATGGTGATTTACATGTCCCTAACATACATGCACTATTTTACTAAATTATACATCTCTCTAATGCTTTACAATCTTATAACTGATATTAAATTGAATTTTGACACTTGACCTTGAATTTGATAAATATACTTTGTATACAAATAGTTCTTTGGTCATTTTTGTGACTATTCTATAATGATACATGTATTAGACTTGAAATAAATAAATGAATTGATAAATCATATTTATGTGGTTCTCTTATGTATAATAGAAACAGAAACCTTGACAGTTATAGATCGTTACAAACAAGCCTCAATAATTCCAACACTGGTGATCATGCAGGAGCACATTTTTCAGATTAATAAAGTGTCTGATTTATTGAACCAATTACTTAAAGCAAAAAATGAACTATACTTGGTATGGCTGAAAATGAATGGTTCTGAACAAATTTTGTCTGGAAGGTTAACTTACAAGATTATTATATCCACGGTACATGTATTTTAATAAAATCCATTGTAGACATTTTGTGAGTTAAATATTGGAAATATTCTGTATTTCAGAAATCTGATGAGAAGGACAGAGGCAAAGCAAAAGTACCAAAGGATCATATAAAAGAAAAAGTGGCTCAAGTTCAAACAAAACACAGGGAAATCTTCAAATTCAAAACAAAAGTCTCAGAAATTGTACACAAAGCCATGGAAATTGCCAAAGGGAATGGGAAAAGAGAGACTGATTCAGGTGATGGAAGGCATGAGGAGGAGGGGGATGTTTTGGAGGGTGTGGACAAAGCACAGGAAAAGACTAGTTTGGATAGAAAGCATAAACTGTCTGGTAGTGCTTGTGATCAACTGAATATTTTGGAATATGATAAAGAGCATAATATTGAAGAGAAAGCTGAAAATAATTTGGCTGTTCTTTCGAAAAATGAATCAAGTCACAGTTTAAATGAAAGCAAGCAGAGAAGGTTGTCTTTTAAAGACTTGAGTATACACAAAGAATTTGATTTTGAGGCAGACGATGAAGTAATGAATGAATCAGCTGACTGCTACATCCCAAATGACTTTGTGCAAAGTGGATGTAATGTGAAAAGTAAGCAAGACAACTATTCTGGAAGCAGAGGTAGAAGCAAAAATGTCAGTGGTATTTCAAATGAAGTTAGATCTGAACAGCAAAATATGGTACAAAGTAAAATAGGCACAGACAATGCAAAAAGAAGTGATACTAAAAACAGATTGGTGAGAAGTTCATTCTTTGGAAATGTACACTCTTCCAAATTAAACAAAATTAGGAAACGACTGAATGATGAAAGAAGGTCTGTTCCAGAGGATAGTTTGTGTTCATGGAAATGTTTCCTAAAGAAACATTCAGTAGTCAAGAAGCATGTTTACTATGGACCTGTTGATAGGTCTAAAGCAGAAGTTGGTATGTTTTTTTTGTTCAATGTATAATCAATAAACTAAATGGATGAAGAACATTAAGCTGTTGGTTGTAACTTCCAGTATATTCATGATGTATGATTTCTGTAAATTACATGTATTGTTAATTTTCTGTTTGTAGATGACATTTTAAAGAACTTTTTGAGTGTAACATGTTGAAGATACCACTTAGAGTGACAATTTACAGTCTCCAACATAGGATTGGCTTTCCTTCAATGTACCGTACTGCACATGCTCAGAGTAAGTTAGCCTGGGGTATGTTTGACACTTATAGAAATATTTCTTCATTTCATCCAGTTGTGATTTTCTTATCCATCAGATTGACTGTGATATTGGTATGGGAAGAATAGGTTTTACATATGTATTGTCAAATAAATATGCTTGTATAAAGGCCAATAAATAGAGCCAGAGAATATTCAACTGAGAGTTATAAATACTGTAAATAAATATTGTAAATGTACACAATATTGTTGTGTATTTCAAAGTAGTTGATCTGGAAATACAGAGGTTAAGTATATATTCATTAATGTGATTGAGAAGGTTCTATTTATGTATTATTTATTTTGTCATATTTGTATTGTATATAATTTGATTTCTGGTAGCTCTGTTGTTGTCAAGACTGTCCAAGAGCTAGTTACAGAGATTATATTCATGATGTCATGGAGAATCTTACCCCCCTCCCAAAAAAAGAAAAAGATAATAAAAATTTTTTCTTGTCTATTTTCCTCATTTAAAGTTTAAATGCTGTGTGTACATGTATGAGATAAATGATGCTAGCAATTTTGGTTTTGTACTACATGTACTGACTTTTTTGAGATAGAAGTAAAGTTTATAACCAGAGAGTGTATGATAGGCACAGGAGAACTTTATTGGTTTTAAGTTCATAGTAAAAACCAATCTCTATCCAGAGTTGTCGTTCCCGCTACGCTCCCACATACACCTCTGTCAACGCTTGTTTTACAAGATTCTTGGAAAAATTGTAAAAGATTAAAAATTGTTTTAATAGTCGTTTATAATTATATTTCTTATCGGAAAACAATATTTATATTA